AGAATTTGTTGTGTTTCTTCTGGCCTTTTTCAGCAAAATTACTTTCGAGCTGGTGGAGGCTTCCTGTAGACTTACAATACGGACAGTTCATTAAATCAGAAAATTGTCGATATAAAAGTGCTTGTGAAGATTTATTTGAACAAAATATATTTTAATTTGGTATTAATCGCCGTACCGGATAATTTTTATTTTAATCGAGCGATTGTTACCTCCAGCTATAATAATTATCATTACCTACCTCGCTTTTCATTTTACGAATACGTGAAATAAAACCCTACAAAAATAACTGTGGGAAACAAAATGAAGACCCATCTCGTTACAATACAACTGTATCCACCAGTTAATATCAGACAGATCAAACCAATAACTGCTAACTCAATGTACTTTGGCTCACGCGACAAAACGTTTTAAAACACAAGCATGCTACATACGAAAATCAATCTTATCTGAACGCAATACAGTGCACAGTGCCCTAGAGAGTTAACCTTGTACGGCCATCAAACTCATTGCTCTGACACGCGCAAGGATGAGATGTGAGGGAGGATTACTGATGTCGATTTGCGCCAATTAGCGAATGATGCGCTATCGCAACACTCAATGTGATATATTCACATCGTATTGTACTTGACGAGATAAAAACTCTATACCTACCACATATTACAACTATATATATATATATATATATATATATAATATATATATATATATATATATATATATGTATTGTATAAAGTGGCTTAATAAATATAATTTACAGGTAACTTTAGATTTAAATTATATTGAAATAGAGCCTGGAAAGAATTTTTAATATACAGTTATTAACAATTTTAATAATTTAAAACAATAAATAATTGTGAAAATAAGTTAACATAAAAAGTATCATCTGCACTTTCTTAGGGAATCATGTATTGAAATATGACAATTCATAGTTATAAAATCATTAAGCAGTCGTATAATTTGCAGAAAAGAGAAAAAAAAGAAGTAAAGTCAAAGGCGGAAGCGGGTGAAATCATCCCCTGTCTTTGTGGGGAAAATCCTTTGGTAGGTACATCTAACTGTCGGCAATCTTAGTATATAGGATAATTCGCTATACACACAGTCGGGTGGAAATATAGTAACTTAATATTTAAAAGCCTGTTTCAAGTCTGATTAAATAAAGTTAAATTTTGTTTCATTTCGCTAAAATTCAGTATAGATTTGTCGGTTAAAGTTTTTGTTACAAATGTTTATTTTTATTATTTTTTGTGGCCTCAATTTACTTATTAATTAATACTTAATTAAAAAATAAAATAGGTACTTTTATTATTACATATCTACTATTTCGTAAGAAGTATATTGCGCATAAAATAATTATTTTATGTGTATAAAATGATTATTTATAATTAATAACTGACTTCAGACCCTACTTTTTTATTGATCATAAAGAAAATGAAAAATCTCTCGCAGAAAGAAATTATATGAAAATTCTGATAGTATGGGGAAATTTGATAAACTTTGATGTAAATAGATATTTCCTAATACTTGAATCAGTTACGAGTATGATTAGTTAAGAACCTTAGAAGATATAACATATTTTGTTAACCTAAATTAGATGTCAGCGAAAACTTAATTTCTATTTTAATGTGCGAATATTGTTAGGTAATTGGCATGACTATTACATATTTGTAGAGCACTGATAGGCGCCTAGGGGTGGGTGGTACTAGGTAGGCTACTGCATATTTCAATAACCATAGTCGATGTAAGTGAAATACTCGCGAGGTATATTGTTATTGAAGGCGTGAGCGTATTTTCCGCTGCCGCCGGTGGAGTGGCCGCGCGGGCGGGTCGCGTCGGCAGTCGGCAGTGAACTTGTTGTCTATTTATACGCAGTGCCTCGCCGCTGCATTCTCACCATATATGTATATAGTTGCAAGTACATGTTGAGAAATTATTTTCGTCTTCTATTGAATAAATGAGTTGACATTCTTGGTTTTACACTTAAATATAATTACCTCTCTCTCTATTAAGATCCGGTTCTCGTCAGAACTCTATTAATATGAATATAGGTTTTACAAAAAGAGATGAATAAGTCCGGAAAATTAAGCAAAATCGTATTTGATTTCAATAAAATCACCGACCGTATCTATTGTTTAGTGACTTACAGAGTGTTGATTTAAAAATATTAATGTTTTAACATAAAAATGCTATGAATTTCATGTATGATGTAACATTTCTGCCGCAGCTGTCGCGTTGGCAGACGCTGGCGTCGTCGAGGTTGAGAACGATGTATGCTTATCATTCTAGTGATAAATAAAATAAACTTAGGCTGTTTCTGATAACTTACGAAAGCTCATAGAGTGGATTTTTACACACTTTTCTTTAAGAACATAATAATTTCACACTTCGCTCTTGTCTTCTCCTTATAGGCATTTTGTTCTAGTGTCCAATAATGCACTTATTGGGTTTAAACCAAACTACGACCAACTACTGTGTGATTAATAAAACTGTTTGTACCGTATGGGAATAAAACCTGCGACTTTGGTCGTAGCTTAATAAACATTGATAAATAATCTAGTCTATATATAGAGGTACAAGAAAAGAAGAATTTGAACTTTTTCTTTGTATTTTTGGATCATGGACGATGGTTCCAAATGTCGATGCTTTGCTAAAAATTGATTTCGAAAAATAAAGTATTTAAATTTAAATTAAAGTACTAAGTTTAATATGTTATACGTATATTCCATTATTAACTTAAAATAATATTTTGTCTTCCACACAAAGGTGATTTGATCAAGGGATTACATAATTAAATCTAGTAAAATGATTCAAGGGTAAATACAAAATATAATCGTGTAGAAGCACACATCACCAAATTAAACCAGGATTACCAAATATATACAACGCTCAAACACCTGTCCCCGTAAATAGCCTCGGCCAATGCACTCGACTGCACTTGCATCGGAAACTTTTAGACTTTATGACGTTTACTATCCATTACGTCTGTAAGCTGCCCTTACCAGTATTGTTAAATAACATATTGGGCAATGGAATGTACGAATGCGACTAAGAATGTATGAGAGACGGGAAACTCGATGTTGAATTACTTTCAGTCATGAATGTATCAATGAATGATTCTTGACTGAATCAACACACTCTTACACAATTTGGGGTGTAAACTTAAAATATTAAAATATGGTGTTTTTGTTAGGGAACAGTTTTACGAAATTTGGAATTTAAGTTATAATATAAATTCAAAATGAATAAATGATTACTCAACTCAAAAATATCTTTTGAGAATGCTTTATTCATTCCCGGACACGTTGGCGGCCGACTTCTAAATATTACTGTATAATATGCAAAGACAATTTTTTTTTACTTTGTAGAGGATTATTATTTTTAATTAAGTATTTATTATATTTGCACTAATTTGCGTTATTTGGAAGTCACTTTTATTTAGTGTTATTGTAATGAGTTGTCTCCGAATAAATATATTTTCATCGAATGTAGCCGGTACATATCTGCGACTTACTGATTTAACAAGCTCGAGAAACCCGTATTGAAATGGGGTTTTTTCTTGTGTTATAGACAGAAACAAGTACATAGAAATATGTAAGTGACGCAAACGGACATACATGTATATAAATAACATTTATTTTATGTTAATTTATACGATTTTTCAGCTCCAATTTTATTACAGACCATTTGATACACCCGCTGTAACAGTATTAAATGAGACCTACGTAAGGTGCAAATTGCTAGATAAAGATAAGTCACTCGGTTGCATATGGTGTTTATTCTACAGAGTTATAAAGTGTCACGGCATGTGTCTCAATATGGCGTATAACTTACGAGTATGTACAAAAGATTATACAGTAACATAAAAAAATATATATATACACACTTAGTGCATACAAGTGTTGCTAAAAAAGCTCCCAAGCAATTTAGTAGAACGTTGTCAAAGTTGGTTTGTAAAGAAGTTAGTACCTAGAGTTGTAACAGTTACTATGTAGTTGATAAATAGATAAGATTTTTATATTTCCTACTTTTATTACCTTGACATTTATGTCATACTTGAAACAGGATCGAACGCGCGACTTTCCTCGCACTAGACTAGGTCTAGCAAAATAAAGTATTAAAATTAAAGTACTAAATACATAAATTATTGGAATACCAATTATCTCTTACGATACATCCATTCTTAAGATATCATCTTTTCAGTATTTACCCGAAGTTTTGTCGAAAAGTCGTGTGAAAGTCTTACTAACTTAAATAACAATATTATATGAACTTCTAGTTATATGGAATCTCGTTTAGAAATAAAAAAAAAATTAAGGAAATAATAACGCAATGTTAATTGTTTTAATATGTAAATAAATTTTAATAAAATAGGTTAAATCTTACAAATATATTACTATAGATTTTATTAAAATTAAATTATTTTTTCCACTTTTTTAATGTTATACTCATAATTTAGAATTTCTAGAGCTATTTCTTTCAAATTCAAATTTCAATGTCAATTATATATTAATTTATTAGCATCGAATCCATTTTATATTTCACTATTTATTTAAAATACACAAGTAATAATAATTTATTATTATTTTACTATAATGTGTTGTTTGGTTATATTGTAATAATTCCAGTTAAAATCATTTATATAAACTTAACCATAAGCAGGCGCTATGATGCGAAAGCGGCTATCGCCTGAAATGGAACTATGTATGCGCGAGCGCAAGCGCCGACGAACGAAAATGAACCCTCTAGTCTTATGCCTTCGAAGCCTTAAAGTGCATAATATTGGGATAATGTATAAGGGATGAAATGGGGGAAGTTAGTGTATGAGTGGCGAGGCGGCTATTCGCCGCGGCCGACGCGATACAGACGCCCGCGCCTTGTATGGAGCGCACCGTTGACTAGCGCGCGGTATATAAGCTCCGCGAGCCGCTCTCCGCCGCACTCGCAGTCTCGCTGCCGTAGAGTCAACTTCCAGCGCGTCCCGATACACATACACAAACTTCAAAATGTGCGACGATGATGTTGCTGCGCTCGTAGTGGACAATGGCTCCGGCATGTGCAAGGCCGGTTTCGCCGGCGATGACGCGCCCCGTGCCGTCTTCCCATCCATCGTGGGTCGCCCCCGTCACCAGGGTGTGATGGTCGGTATGGGCCAGAAAGACTCCTACGTAGGTGACGAGGCCCAGAGCAAGAGAGGTATCCTCACCCTGAAGTACCCCATCGAGCATGGTATCATCACCAACTGGGATGACATGGAGAAGATCTGGCATCACACTTTCTACAACGAGCTGCGCGTCGCCCCTGAAGAGCACCCCGTTCTGCTCACTGAGGCCCCCCTGAACCCTAAGGCTAACAGGGAAAAGATGACCCAGATCATGTTTGAGACCTTCAACTCCCCGGCCATGTACGTCGCCATCCAGGCCGTGCTCTCCCTGTACGCTTCCGGTCGTACCACCGGTATCGTGCTGGACTCCGGAGATGGTGTCTCCCACACCGTCCCCATCTATGAAGGTTACGCCCTTCCCCACGCCATCCTCCGTCTGGACTTGGCCGGCCGTGACTTGACCGACTACCTCATGAAGATCCTCACCGAGAGGGGTTATTCTTTCACCACCACCGCTGAGAGGGAAATCGTGCGTGACATCAAGGAGAAGCTCTGCTATGTCGCTCTCGACTTCGAGCAGGAAATGGCCACCGCTGCCGCCTCAACCTCCCTCGAGAAGTCCTATGAACTTCCCGACGGTCAGGTCATCACCATCGGAAACGAAAGGTTCCGTTGCCCTGAAGCCCTCTTCCAGCCTTCCTTCCTGGGTATGGAATCCTGCGGTATCCACGAGACCGTGTACAACTCCATCATGAAGTGCGACGTTGACATCCGTAAGGACTTGTACGCCAACACTGTCATGTCCGGTGGTACCACCATGTACCCCGGTATCGCTGATAGGATGCAGAAGGAAATCACCGCCTTGGCTCCATCCACCATCAAGATCAAGATCATCGCTCCCCCCGAAAGGAAGTACTCCGTATGGATCGGTGGATCCATCCTGGCTTCCCTGTCCACCTTCCAGCAGATGTGGATCTCCAAGGAGGAGTACGACGAGTCCGGCCCTGGCATCGTCCACCGCAAGTGCTTCTAAGCATCTCGTTAACCCTCGCGCCGCCGCTGCGGTCGCTGCGTGAGCGAGTGCTGTGTGTTGTGTTGCTCTTGTATTGAGTTCGGAACGCAAGCATTTTGTACGTTGTACGTAGTGATACCTGACAGAACTGAACATCTAATATAACGCCATCTATCGTAATGTAATTTATTGTAAAATTTATATAAATTTAATTTTCTTTTTTATTTTTATTATACTTGGGATCGTTGTGGATCTCACGCCAAAATGTAATTAATAAATAAACGGTTAATTTATTTATTTTAATTACATTATTTCTTTTTATACATTCATTGACTTTGGATTTTAATTTGAACTTCCTCGCACCTTATTCCTACCCTTGTAATATAATACTTCATCATTATAACAGGATTGACATTTCGTCATCCGAAATAGTAACATTCTCTTGCTTGCAAATAGTACACAATATACATTATATAACTATGCCATGTCTAACAATATAATAATATTATGCCAAGAAATAGTGCACCTGTTCAAATGTAGGTCAGTCACAATATAAAGCTCGACAGCCATTCGACACGAGCTCGTCAAATTTTAGCATTCCTTTAGAATGCACGATATTTAAGTCGGCACTAGTAGATATCCAAAATTAGCCCCGAGGGTGCCCCACGCGCCCGCGCGCCCGCCGCTCGCACTACCATAAATAGTCAACGCAACTCCCGCGTTCAAACCATTTTCTAATTTTATCGAAGTCGGGAGTCATCCGTTGCCATAGGAACTTGAGCCTAACGATAAAGGAATAGGCAAAGTATTCGCTCACAGCACGTGTTTCCGTAAATATCGCGCATGGCCTGGTGAGGCACCATGCGCCGGGCTATTAATACACGACTCCCGGACCGACCAGCGCCGAGTTGTGACATCGACGTGACGTCGGCATCTAACCATGCCTCTAACTCTCATTATATTATCAAATAAATACTTCCAACTTTCAGATCCTGACTCACTTTGTTTTGTTTCCATCAGTGTTCGTACTTTGGTCAAAATATATAGTAACAGATTGTCACATATTTTTACACGTTTGTTTAAGTTATGTTAATAATTATTTGTGTCTAGTATCACCCGATGCTTCATACATACGGTCCTTATGTTGTAAACATTTCGGTTAGTTAGAGGATTAAAATAGTGGCGACGGTCCGAGTGTAGATATTTTGAGCGCCGCGCCGCTCGCGTCGTTCACATCTTAGATTTCACGAAACTCAGCCCTATACGTTTCGCCATTCATGCCCAAATACTATCAACATTCAGAAATATTTTGGCGTATTTACTTGTTGGCACTTGAATTAATCAGTACTAAGTAATTTTGCCGTGTTTTTATTCTATTAAAAACGCAATATGATGTATAATTTTTCTATTTTTTTATAACGGAGAAAAATTTTTTTACAGATTTTGTTTTACAGTTGGTAAGATGCGTATGTCGTGTTGGTTTATAAAGTAAGTAGTTAAATATATAATGTATAATTTTTACTAAGCTTCCGCTGGCAAAACACGTTTTCAATGAAATAATTTCAACTACAAAAAAGTATTTTCATTACAAATAATTCATACATTATATGGGATGCAGAAATTACAGGATACTGTCAATATTAATTTTTACTAATGAAACCAAAAATAATTAAACTAAACTCTAAGCTTTTGTATCGCTGCTAAAGCTCATTTGTCTTTCTATCACTCTTCCATAGAACAACAGATCGGCATGATATCGCAACATAACGACATAATATATTTTAATATCATAAAAATAGTAAGTACTAAATAATGACTTTGACGTGGCGAAATGTCTGTGAGTGAAGTGATTCATGCTGCAATGTATTGTAAAACTGAATTGTATCCAAAGCACTATATTCGATCAGCTGCGAGTGACGAGGAGGCGGAGGCGGAGGCGGAGGCGGAGGCGGCTGGCGCGGCGCACGACGCACTCGCTACTATATAAGACTCGAGTTAAAAATATATCGTGAATCCATTATTTGAACGATAACAGGTAGCTATAAGTACTTCTTGTACACACTTGGCTACGGTTACCATCAATATTCTAAATCTAATATATAAAATTTCCACGTCACAATGTTAGTTACCGTACTCCTCCGAAAAGGCTTTACCGATTTTTACCAAATTTTATATGCGTATTCAGTAGGTCTGAGAATCGGCTACTATCTATTTTCCATACCCCTAAGTGATAAGGATAAGGGTGGTCCACCCAGAGCCCACCCCAGGGACGAACCCGAGCGGAGCTAGGGTGAGTCTCTAGTAATAATATATTATTATAAAACTCTTATATATTTCTTTATATATATCTTTATATTATGCATTCCTGAAGGCCCTGCATCATATCGAAGCTTGACATACGGAGAAGCAACAATAAGTTTTTCCAAAACTCATTCTCGGTACACGTTGCAGTGCTATGGAACAGACTTCCCAAAGACCTACAGGAGAGCCCTCTAGCGATGCGTTTTGCAAAAGTCAATATAAAAAAGCATTTTTTAGCTCATAATTGAAAAATATATACATATACTTATGTTTTGTAATAAAATAAGTATATTTATGTATATAGGTATGTATGTACATATCTGGTATTTATTTATTCTCTCAAATATTTATCTAGTGTTTAAAATACATAATATTTGTATTTATTTTCTTTACTTATGCTTATTCTTATAGTATATTTTCCTATCGTTTGTTTGCGCTGTCTCTTTCTGTTCCGCTACTTAATACTATTTCCCATATTCATGGGTTGACAGGAAGAGATCTCTTATAGAGATAAGTCCACGTTTGTCTGCCTCATTATCTATGTATTTTTATAAATTCTTTAACACAATAAAGAATATAATTATATAATACGTGCTTATTTCTGTACAACAAGAAATGACGAAAAAAATGTATATCCCATTTAATCATTTTATTAATAGTAAGAAATAACACGCAGCCGCTTTAATTACTAAAATTAAATAAGAAACTAAAGATAAAGACGTGTTTATTTTAAATAGGTCGTTCATTTTAATTCTCATGAAAAAACATGGTATTTTGCTAACACGCTATGTTATTTCAATTAGTTCATACCTATTAACTAATAGATATAGCTATTTCCATTCCGTGTCGCTGGATATGACATAATAAACAAGTCCCATTGATATTCGTCCAAGTGTCTTGAGCAGTTTGCGAGAACTATAAATATCAAGCAAGCAATTAAAAAATATTTAATATGTCATAGATGTCATACATAATATATTTGTTATCTATTCAGCCCTTTTTTCAACGTCCCACTTCTGGAAAGGACCTCCCTTCAACACGAGGGGGATCAGGCCACAGTCCACCATGCTAGCCAAGCGCTGCCAAGAAATGATTCGCACAAAAAAAACATGAAAATATCAGAGTTGTGAGACCCGGGATGTGAACCCGCTTCACTTAGTTTCCGAAGCTAGCGCGTTACCACTATCTTATATTTGTTACAGGACGTAAAATTACAAGATAAACAAACAAAAATAAAGTAGAAAAATTAGATTGCAGCAAAAAATATATACAACGATAGAGTCACGAATTACAGTTAATAGAGTCCGCTAGGTATACCTACTTCTACGTTCAATGAAATAACAGTATTTTGATTCTAACAATAAATATGGAATCTAAATCTTATTTAAATCTATTTTAAATAGAAATGTGGATACTAATTTCTGTATACATATTTGTAAAGCAACTAGAGGGTAATTTGTCTATTTTGAAGTCCAGCGAAGTACGTTTAAGGTCCGCAACAACTGTTCGTTGCTTTTGTATGCGTATTGTACTCTGCGATGCAATTTGAAAGCATTTATAGTTGATATTGCTCTTATTATACAATGTGGAAAAGAAGTCGTTTCAATATATTTTAACTTGAATTACAAAAAATATTCATAACAGTGTTGTTACACGATTTTTATATCGATAGATCGTTTAAGTTTTTTATTTTTATTTTAACGCTTTTTTTTAAATGTGACGAAGTAAGTTTATATTTAGAACGTTGTTTAAGCAAAGGTAAAAGTCGTCGCCATGATAGTGTAATGTTGGTAACTTATTAGGTTTTGCAGAAGATAATTTTTTCCTGACTCTTCTTTTCGACCAGTCTAGCTTTTAAGCTAAGCAACGATGTCAGCTTGCACAATGTCACTTTCAAAATAATAAAACAAATAGGTACACACATTTTATATTATGATAGTATAAAATATGTGATTTATTTTTAAATCAAAAATAAATTTACATATCTGTAAAACATTTCAAACGTCGGAAACCAAAAATATTAAAAAAAATATAAATCCGCGAAAAAATCCGAAAAGATAGTTTTATGCAAAATATCATATACCTATTCGCGTAAATCTAAGAAAGTATTATAATGTCATATATAATTAACAATAAACAATAGTAGCTCAATGAAAAATAAACATTCAGTCCATTTTGAAAAACGAAAGATTTAATATTTCTCTCATCATTAATTCCTTGGATACAATTTTAGTGTAATTAATTTTCCTAAACGAATTGAATCAGTGTCACTGACACACTCGTACGAGCATAATAAACCTATTTATGAGCGGAGCGCTATTTGTAGGCGGCTGTCGGACACTGTGGCCGTTTTGTTACGTGTCAACTAATTCGCAGGGCTTTAACTTCTGTAAATTCTTAAGGGCAGGAGTATACGAATACTATATGTAATACAAGGTGTAATCTATACTAATATTATAAAGAAGGCAGAGTTTTTTTATTTTTTTGTTTGAACGGGCTAATCTCACGAACTACTTATCCGATTTGAAAAAATATTTTGCGTTAGATAACCCATTTATTGACGAAGGCTATATATAGGCTACATATCGTATAATATATAATCTATCTATTCCATACTAACCATTAAAACGTACCTAGGGACAAACCCGAGCGGAGCGATGGTGAGTGGCTAGTTTAAATTTGTAAAACGTATATATTATGTGTTAGATATATGTAGG